AGATGGAGTCTCCCTCTGTTGCCCAGGCTGGAGTGCAATGGTGTGATCTCAGCTCACTGCAACCTCCACCTCCTGAGTTCAAGCAATTCTCCTGCTTCATCCTTCCGAGTAGCTGCGATTACAGGTGTGCACCACCACACCCAGCTAATTTTTGTATTTTTAGTAGAGACAGGATTTCACTATGTTGGCCAGGATGGTCTCCATCTCTGACCTTGTGATCTGCTGGCCTCGTCCTCCTAAAGTGCTGGGATTACAGGCGTGAGCCACCACGCCCAGCCCTGTCTGGCTTCTTTCACTTAGCATAGCGTTTTTGAGGATCACCCTGTATTGCTAGTTCATTTTTCTTTTTTTTTTGAGATGGAGTCACAGAGTCACTAATTCTTTTCTTTTTCTTTTTTTTTTTTTGAGACAGAGTCTCACTCTGTTGCCCAGGCTGGAGTGTGGAGTGTGGTGGCACGATCTTGGCTCACTGCAACCTCCGCCTCCCCATTCAAGCCATTCTCCTGCCTCAGCCTCCCTAGTAGCTGAAACTACAGATGCACACCACCACGCCTGACTAATTTTTGTATTTTTTTGGTAGAGACAGAGTTTTGCCATGTTGGTCAGGCTGGTCTTGAACTCTTTACCTCAGATGATCCACCCGTCTTGCCCTCCCAAAGTGTTGGGATTACAGGCATGAGCCACCGCACCCTGCCAGTTTCTTATTATTGCTGAATAATATTCTATTATATGGCTATCCAACATTTTGTTTCTCCACCAATCAATGGATATTTGTATTGTTTTCATTCTTTGCCTCCTTTGCTATTATAAATAATACTGTTATGAACAGTCACATACAAGTCTGTGTGTGGACATATGTTTTCATTTCTCTTTGGTAGATTCCTACAGGTGGAATTTCTAGGTAGCACAGGAATTGGGGGAAGAAGGGAAAGGGTGAATGTCCTCATTTTACTTTTACATTCTGGTATTTGTTTAAAATTTTTAAATAATGAATATGTATTAATATTATAATGAAAAAAAGTAAAAAGAGCTCAGCTTAACTTTGGAAAGAGCAAGATACATGGTGGAGGCCACACATGGTGGCTCGTATCTATAATTCCAGCACTTTGGGAGGCAGAGGTGGGAGGATTATTTGAGCCCTGGGGCTTAAGACCAGCCTGGGCAACACAGAGAGCCCCATCTCGACAAATGTAATAAAAAATATTAGCTGGGTGTGGTAATGCACACCTGTTGTCGAAGCTACTTAGAAGGCTGAGGTGGGAGGATCACTAGAGCCTGGAAGGTCAAGGCTGCAATGAGCTGTGATCCTGCCACTGCACTCCAACAAAAACAAAACTCCTCAACTCATTCGTATAATCTCCCCATTCTGTTTTGGCTAAGCTATGTAACACCTCAAAGGCAAAAGTTAAGATGATTTTGTAGCTTTCTTTTGCTCCTAACCTAGCAGACAAATGGGATGTGCTCAATAAACATCAAAAAAACTTTAATTTGGGCCATGAGTAGTGGTTCATACCTGTATTTCTAGCACTTTGGGAGGCCAAGCCAGGCAGATCACCTGAGGTCAGGAGTTTGAGACCAGCCTGGCCAACATGGTGAAACCCTGTCTCTACTAAAAATACACAAAATTAGCCGGGAGTTGGGGCATGTGCCTGTAATCTCAGCTACTTGGGAAGCTGAGGCAGGAGAATTGCATGAACCAGAGAGAGAGAGGTTGCAATGAGCCACAATCATGCCACTGTACTCCAGCCTGGGCGACAAAGTGAGACTTGGTCTCTTAAAAAAAGAAAAAAACATGAATTGGGAAGTCTGCTACAGATGATATTAACATCATCAAAAGATAACTACTTTGATACATATGGGAATTTAGTATATGATAAAAATGACATTTCAAATCAAATGGGGAAAAGATAAGTTATTCAATAGATAGTGGTGTTGGGACAATTGAATGGGCATCTGGACAAAAAAGTTGGATTCACATCTCACATCGTATTCCAAAATAAATTTGTATATAGAAAAAGAGACACTTAAAAAATAATATTGGCAGGGCTCAGGGGCTGCCTTTTGAGAGGCCAAGGCAGGTGAATCACCTGAAGTCAGGAGTTTGAGACTAGCCTGGCCAACATGGCAAAACCCCGTCTCTACTAAAAATGTAAAAATTAGCCAGGCTTGGTGGTGGGCGCCTGTAGTCCCAGCTACTGAAGAGGCTGAGGAAGGAGAATCGCTTGAACCTGGGAGGCAGAGGTTGCAGTGACCCAAGATCACATCGCTACACTCCAGTCTCAGTGACAGGGTGAGACTCCACCTCAAAAAAGAAAAAAGAAAAAAAAGAAAAATCTTGTAAGGAATGGTTTTCTATATATGACAAAAGGTGCAGAAGTGTAGAGAAAAATATTCATCAATTTTGCCACATTAAAAAATCTACCTGAAAAAAAATATTCAATTTTTTAAAATGACAAGGTGGAAATATTTGCAACTTATAGACTAAGGACTAATTTCCTTAGTAAACTTATATACATCTGTAAGAAAAAGACCAGCAACCCAATAGAAAAATGAACAAAGGACTTATTTCATTAAAAATGGCTCTTGGCCAGGTATGGTGGCTTATGCCAATAATCCTAGCACTTTGGGAGGCCAAGGTGGGTGGATCACGAGGTCAAGACCATCCTGGCCAACATGGTGAAAACTCATCTCTAATAAAAATACAAAAATTAGCCGGGCATGGTGGCGCTTGCCTATAGTCTCAGCTACTTAGGAGGCTGAGGCAGGAGAATCGCTTGAACCCAGGAGGCAGAAGTTGCAGTGAGCCGAGATCACGCCACTGTTCTCCAGCCTGGGCTACAGAGTGAAACTCCATCTTAAAAAAAAAAAAAAGGCTCTTAAATGTATGATATGCATCCCCCTCAAAATAAGGGAAATGCAAATCAAAACTATAAGATACCACTTTTATATTGAAAAATTGGCAAAACTCAAAAAGTTTGATTAACATTCTCCATTGATGAGTATTTGGGGATGGGTATCGAATGTATTACTGACAGTTTAAGTTGGTACAACCTTCATGATAAGTACTATGCATTGGTAAAATACACTCCAACCTTATCTACCATTTCTTCTCTTGCACAATTTGTATTAGCCACGTTGGCCTCCTCCTCCTCTTCAAACATGCAAGGCGCATTCCAGCCGTAAGGCTATGCACTTGCCTTTCCCCGCCAACCCTGAAATGCATACCAATTTTTCCTTACCTCCTCAGGCCTTTGCTCAAATGTCAGTGAAGCCTTCTCTGATCACCCGATCTAAAACAACGGCTCCCATACCCTCTATCATTCTCCTTTTCACCCCATTTTTTTCTTTTGAGCACTTATCATCTGATGACACTATTCTATGCATTTATGTTTACTGTCTCTGCTTTCCAATTGTAAACCTAGGACTTTGTTGTATATACTGCTGTAGCCCCAAACTCCAGAACATTACAGGCTTAGAATGTAGTAGGTGCTCATTAAGTACAAATAATGAATGAATGAACGTCTATTGAGGACAACTTAATATCTATTAAAACTTAGAATGCACATACTTAGTAAGCCTCCTTTAGGCATTTATCTAACAGATATCCTTGCACATATGTGAAACAGAGAATATAAAGGTTATTTGTTGTAGCACTGTTTGTAGTAATGAAAGAAGAAAACAACCTAAGGACATTTTTTTCTTTTTTGGGACAGAGTCTCACTCTGTCGCCCAGGCTAGAGTGCAATAGTGCGATCTTGGCTCATTGCAACCTTGCCCCCCAGTTTCAAGCGATTCTCCTGCCTCAGCCTCCCAAGTAGTTGGGACTACAGGTGCATACCACCATGCCCAGCTAACTTTTTATATTTTTAGTAGAGATGGGGTTTCACCGTGTTAGCCAGGACGGTCTCAATCCCCTGACCTCGTGATCTGCCCACCTCAGCCTCCCAAAGTGCTAGAATTACAGGTGTGAGTCACCAAGACTGGCCGGACAAATTTTAAAATAAGTTACCTATAGCCAGGCATGGTGGCTTATGTCTGTAATCCTAGCACTTTGGGAGGCTGAGGCGGGCAAATTGCTTGAGCCCAGGAGTTTGAGACCAGCCCAGGCGACATGCTGAAACCCCGTCTCTACAAATACAAAAATTAGCCAGGTGTGGTGGCGGGCACCTGTAATCCCAGCTACCTAGGAGGCTGAAGTGGGAGGATCACTTGAGCCCAGGAGGTTGAGGCTGGGGTTAGCCGTGATCATGCCACTGCACTCCAGCCTGGGTGACAGAGTGAGACCCTGTCTCAAATAAAAAATAAGCTACCTATACAATAGAATAAAGAAATACTATGTAGACATGAAAAGATCTCTAATTGAGAAAATTATTTGGCTCTCTTTGGCAACTGTACTATCTCAAAACTCTGGTGATACTACAAGAATGAACTCCCTTATAATGAAGTGCTTAATGGTAAGGAGAGTGGAAGTGAACAGGTACAAACAGTGAGTGATTATTTTCACTATAGTTTTATTTAATAAGCATCAGTTTCCTTGTAGAAAACATAGAATTTCTACCAATTAAACAATATTCTAATCAGAATAAATGTATCAAATTACAGATAATGTTGTTAAATGAAGATGCTCTCTTGCAGATCCAGTCACGAATAGGCCTAAACTGGCAGTGCCTATTGTTCATTTATTATGGGTGGATTTCCAATTTTACAAACAAACCTTTATTTATGGGAAGAGGTTCAGCATTTCACAATGTCTTTAGTATATATTTCCTGATGCCAGAGGGGCAGAATTCCCCTTTTGTCCATCAAGTGATATCTACTTGCAGCTGCAGGGCATTTTGCAGGGGTACTCTTTTCCAGAGTTAAATACATACGAAGACATAACACATACAAGATAATTCCCTGGTAACCGTATATACGGCCCCCAATCTTGTCAAACTATAATTTGCTTATTCCTCAAAAAAAAATTCTGCTTCTTATACCTTTACTACCTCCTTTCCTTCTTTTCAGTTGCTCTTATCTGGAATCCTACACAAGCGGCTACCTAAACACTACTATTTCAAGGGCCAGGCCAACTCCTATCTCTTTACTAAAGGACAAAGTCTTCTCTTACTGTTCTACTCTACAGTAATATAGGCTCTGAACTTCTTTAGCCTTTATCATGCATTTGGCTCTAATCTTTTTGTTGTTTAATACTGCCAATTAGCTTTTCACATTTTTTACATCTTCCAGTTAGACTGACTGTAAGCTTTTTTTTTTTTTTTTTGAGATGGAATTTTGCTCTTGTTGCCCAGGCTAGAGTGCAATGGTGTGATCTTGGCTCACTGCAACCTCCGCCTCCAGGGTTCAAGTGATTCTCCTGCTTCAGTCTCTTCTGTAGGTGGGATTACAGGTGCCCACCACCATGCCAGGCTAATTTTTGTATCTTTAGTAGAGACAGGGTTTCACCACGCTGGCCAGGCTGGTCTCAAACTCCTGACCTCAGGTGATCTGCCTGCCTCAGCCTCCCAAAGTGCTGGGATTAAGGCGTGAGCCACTGTGCCCAGCATGATTGCAAGCTCCTTAAAGACAGATTCCTTTATTCTGTTTTTCCCATATTCCTCATGCACCTACATAGCAGATGCTTTAAATGTCTTGGTTTTGAAAAGTAACATGGTCAATCCCCTATAACCCAACATATAAATTTAGTATTCTTTAAAGCTTTTTCCAGAACCAATCTGGTATAAATATAGGTATTCTGCTAGCCTAATACATTTTTTGAGTGTTTGGTATCAGAACTCATCAGCTGACTCTGTGTCCCAGCCACAGGACTGCAGTTGTTCGTCCTGTGGGAATTCAACCTCAATGTCATAAACAAAATTTGGATCATCCTTCTTCTTCCGATTTTTTTCAAACAGTTCATCCATGATGCTCTTCCTTTTGGCAAGCTCCTTGTCATCTAGTTTGTTCAGATCTTCCTCAGGATCAATGGTTGTTTCCCGACGAATCTGTTCCATTGTTTCTGCCAAGCTCTGCCCCGACAAGTAACCTCGTAAAAAACTGAATAGCTTCTCTACCTGCCTCAGGGATACTTGTTCCAGGTAACTCTTGTGTCGTGGATTATTCTTTAATTGTTCGGCAGCCCTGGTGCAATCTGGGAAAGAGAAGAAAACTATATACCACATACATACTGCATACATTATATACACCACAAACTACTGCAAGAGCCAAAATAGAACCAAAAACTCTGAACCCTGAAAGCGTTATGTCCATTATAGTCAAGAAGCTAAATGGTTTTATTGGAATGAATTTTGTAGAACTCTTCCTTTATATTGAGCTTTCAGTGTGGTGGGAGGGGGAGAGAGATATTTTTGACTTCTTTAACTTACAAATCACTTTGTAGAGGTATTAAACACTTTCAACTGGAGAATATGTCTGAGAAGAAAAGTGATAGTATAGGTTTTAGATAGCAGTAGTGGTATTAATAAAATATTAAGACTACAAATAAAAAACATTTGGAAGGAGAGAAGGGAATTGATATTATTGAATAATGCTGTATCATTTAATCTAGCTAGTAATCCCAAAAGGATTATTAATTCTCAAACTGGGGGAAAAAAACTCCAATTCCCTTTTATAGATTAGGAAACTGAAGCTAAGTGACAGTAATTAATCCAGTGTCACACATCCAGTCCCGAACCTGTATTTAGAGAATATTTAAGACAGAAGGCAAGATAAGACACGAGGTACCTGAAAACTTTGAAAAGTTTCGAACTGGCATAATTCGCTGGCGAATTTTCCCCTTGATTTCATTCTCATAGATTAAGATAATAGCTGGAGGCTGAAATCTAATCCCACATTTCTTGGCAGTGCACATCATTACCACATACACGTCAGGGTAAATCAGAGGAAATCTGATGACAATGTGTAAGTTGCATAATGACTTCCTGCTAAAGAGAAAAAACAACTAGGTATTCGATAAATGTCATTCATTTCCCTCACCCTTTTCCCCAGAAGATCTGGTTCTAGTCCAGTTCTGACAACATGCTCAGCCTGTGAAGCTTAATATTTTTTTCTTTTTTTTTTGAGATGGAGTTTCACTCTTTCACCTAGGCTGCAGTGCAATGGTGCAATCTCAGCTTACCACAACCTCCACCTCCTGGGTTCAAGTGATTCTCCTGCCACAGCCTCCTGAGTAGCTGGGATTATGGACGTGAGCCACCACGCCTGGACTTCTTTTTCTTTTTTCAATTAAAATATGGAATGCTTCCTGAATTTGTGTGCCATCCTTGCGCAGAGGCCATGCTAATCCTCTCTGTATCATTCCAATTTTGGTGTCTGTGAGCTGAAGCGAGCACAAAGCTCAGTTACTTTGAGAGCTGCCAGGAAAGTTCAGTTTGGCCTTGGGTTAGTTTCAATCTGTTGGACTCCTAAGACTCTGGTTCCCTCAAGAATATAGACTTGTTCGTATGTGAATCTGGGGATGCAATCCAGTTTGAATCTTTTAGTCAAAGATTGAATATGAATCCCTAAGTCAGCCCAATAGCTAAACTACAAGGTCTTTACTATTTATCAATTAATAAAGGATGTATCAAGCATCCTCTATATCAAGATACTATGAGGTTTTTTTTTTTTTTTTTTTT